ATGAGTTATTTCAAATAATATAATGTAAAAAATAATATAAAAATTAAAAAATTCACTAAATATTAAAAATATAAAATATATATATGAAAATTCAATATTTTTTTATTTTTTATATACTTATTAATGTTATAAATATTTTATCTTTTAAATATATCTAAAGTCCATAAAAGTAAAAAATTTAATTTAAAATTTTAAAAATATTTACTAAAAATAAAAAATCATAAAAATTAATTTTTAAAAAATTAAAACCAGTACAAACGAAATGTTCAAATTAAAGAGAGAGAGAGAGAGAGAGAGAAGCGGGGTTGAACCGTGATTTCAACGGGGACGCGGGTGTCAATCCGATGCTGGTAATAGAGATCGATACAATCCATGTCCAGCCTCTTCAAGCTCGCCTCACATGCTGCCCGTACGTATCCCGGATCACCTCGAATCTCTGGCTTTCCGTCAGCAAAGTAGGCCCCGAATTTCGAAGCCAATTCAACTTTGTCTCTCATCCCTCCCTTGAGTGCCTGCTCATCAAAATCAAAATCAAAATCAAGATCAAGATCAAGATCAAGATCAACTACACCATTTGTTATGAATAGAAATCAAAGAGTAGGAAATTGAATTAATAATAGGGGCGACCTTGCCGAGGAGGATTTCGTTGGTGTGAGGACCGTAGACGTCGGAGGTGTCAAGGAAAGTGACGCCGGAGTTGATGGAGTGGTGGATGAGTTTGATCATGTCTTCTTCCGGCTTTGGAGGCCCGTAGCCGAATGACATCCCCATGCATCCCAGTCCCTGTTTGGACACCTCTAGACCTTGTGATCCCAGCTTCATTCTCCCTACCTTCGCCATTTCTCTCCCTCTCTCTTGCTTCTCTCTCTAGATGTATTAGTCAAAGACAAATGTAGTAGTATAGATAGAGATGGTGTGATGAGCACTCAACTTATTATAATGAGAGGAAAGGAGGATATGCTGCTCCTGCTCCCGGACAAATACATGGGTGTCTGTCCCAATTAGTATTTTTGTGTTTTTTGTTTTTTGTTTTTGTTTTTGTTTTTGTTTTTTTTTTGGGGATGAAAGAGACTATGACCTTGGAAAAAATTAGTAAAGATAACATAAGTTAAAATTATTAATAAAATAAAATTTTATATTTAAATTATAATATTTTATTTTTTTAATTATCAAATCAATTATAAAAAAATTAACTTTTTCAAATATATTTTTTTAATCAAGTTGAAATAGTCATATAAAAAAAAAAAAACTAATAAAAAAGTCAATTAAAATAGACAATTTGCCAAACGAGTTCTACATCAATTTTAGTTTTGATCTTTTAAATATATGTATATATATATATATATTTTTTAATTTTGTTATGTTTTTTTTTATTTTTTGATGAAAGAGACTATCTGTTTTGGTTTTGTTCTTTTAAAAACATTTTTTTTAATTTTTTTAATTTTGTATTTTAATTAATTTTTGTATATATATTTAATTAAATTTATTTTAAAAATAAAATATTTATAAAGAAATCTTTAAAAAAATTAATAAATACAAAAAAAAATTTAAACATATACTATATATTTTTTATTTAGTGTAGTTTTTAAAGATTTTTTCACAAACTATATATATTTTAAATACATCTAGATTAAATGAATTAAAAATTAAAAAATAATTAAAATATTAAATGTTTGAAAATTATTTTTGAAACTTTAAAATCAAATGAAGTTCCATATTAATTTTTGAAAAACAAGAGGTTAAGTAAGTGGTTTTAGTTTAAGGTTCCTAATATTTAAATTTTATAACATAAAGGATATGCAACATTTTTATAATAGTTTAGATCAATAAATATTTTTACAGAGAAATTTCAGCATAGAGAAATTCGCCATAGAGAAATTTGTGAAATTTCTCTGTGACAAATTAAAATTTCCCTGTAATAAGTTAAAATTTCTCAAATAATATTATTAAGGAACCTTAACTAAAAAGAAAAAAATATATTTTGAACCTCTTCTACTATCAAAAATTAGAGAGGAATGTTTCACCAATTTTCTCACTAAGTAATACAATGTGAATGATGTGGAGTATTATTACAAGATTGTCTAATAACCAACATTATCTAATTAGAAATAATACTGACCCCTACAAACACTTCACCTCCGTGACCCTCACACACGTGTGAGAGAAAAAGAAATATTACAAAAATAAAAATACACTTGATGAATTACAATTATTTGGAAGTCGTGTCCCCCAAAATGTGGTTCCAAGTATTTTGCATAGTCTAATGCCCCTGTAGGCCGGACTAGTTGGCGAAGTGTAGAAAAAAGACCACCCACCCAGCAAGAAGTGTAGAAAAAGACAAAAATTACTTATGTCAGCGCCTACGCATGTGAATAGTTTACTTATGTCAGCGCCTACGCATGTGAATAGTTTACTTATGTCAGCGCCTACGCATGTGAATAGTTTACTTATGTCAGCGCCTACGCATGTGAATAGTTTACTTATGTCAGCGCCTACGCATGTGAATAGTTTACTTATGTCAGCGCCTACGCATGTGAATAGTTTACTTATGTCAGCGCCTACGCATGTGAATAGTTTCCGGGCTATGGTTCGGATCCGTCAGTGTCGCTATTAATCAGGTTCGGATCCTTATCTGCCTACGGCCTATTTTGAGGTCAGATTAAAAATTAATTTTTTATTTTATTTTATTTTATTAGAGAGGTGGTGTGATTAGGGATATGTGTGGTACGATTCGAATGGTTTAAATTGGATGGTAGATTAGTGAATTGACGAATTGGTAAATCACCGTCTGGATGGTTTTGAGTGGATTGACAGATTGAAAAATATTTTAACCAATTATCAAGTATTTACATAATATAATACTAATTTGTAAAAAAAAATTTATATATATATATAACACAAACTAATTTTATATAATATTTTTCATATATATTACTACTAATTTGTAATAAATTTAACATTTTAAATTTCTCTTATACTCATTTTTATTTTGATATTTCATTAGAGGTTTATATATATGTGTGTGTGTGTGTGTATTGATTATAACATAGTGGAACGATTTTGAAGGCGGATTATAGATTTTAAAGTTTAATTCGCAGTTAACGGATAAAACGATGCAGATTGATACTGATCAGTGCGATTTTAACGGATTAGATGGTATTTTGTACAGTCCTCGATGTGATTCAGAAAAGCCAAAAAGTCAATAAGCTGACTTTTAACCCAGTTGCTAATGAGGCCTACAATTATCGACAGCGGCTTAGAACTTGTGGATATGTTTGTCTTCAATTTTTTACATAAAGATGTATAAAAAAGTAAAATAAGTGATGTGATTAAATATTTTCACTTTTTGACTATTTTAATTAAAAAAACTAACATCCCAAACATTTCCTTAATACATTCATTGAAATTTCCTCTACACTCATATCCTTTTTTGAGTCCCGTGTTTTTAGGCTGTGTGTAGGATACATTGTGGGTGTTTGGTGTAGCTTAAAGACAACTTATTTTAGCTTTTAGCTTAATTTAAGTTGAAATTGTGTATTTGGCATAACTCACAAGGTAGCAACTTATAACTTATTGTAACTTAAATGTGAGGAAAATAGTTAATTTTAAAAAGCATCTCAAGGGTGCTTTTAGATTCAGATTATGCGGGTAGCTGAAACTAAAGAAGTCAAAATACTTAAATGTCATCTATTATTACAAAAGATTACCAGGTATATAAACTAACTCCTATTCTACTCTCTCTCTCTCTCTTCTCCTCTACTCTCTCTCTCTCTCTCTTCATTTTTATGGTAATAGTATCCATTGTGGTAATAATATTACGCAGTCATTCTAGAGAAAACCCGCACAGTAACTCTCCACGCTTTATTACCGTTTTTGTCAACATACAACCTCAACCACTTATCACAACGAGCGATTGAAAACACCCAATGACATCTCTGACAAATCTCGGAATCAACTAAAATCCACTCCCATTTCTCTGACAATATTCTATATAGTTTTGACATTTTTTTATTATCTTGGAGCGTTGCTCTCTAATCGAGTCTCAGTTATCCTTGCGAAAGTATATGATCAATACTTATTTTATCATTGAGTCTTTATTATAAAGATTTATGTAATTCACACGCAATGGCATCAATGAAATAGTACAAAGTTGTTTAAGGGTTTTTTTCACTTATTCTCGTGTTCTACTAATGAACCTTGCAAATTTTTGTGAAATTTAATGTCTATAACTTGAATATTAAACTAATAATAGTTGATGATGCGCGCTTCAAAAAACCAACAAAACTTACTCTGAGCAGAGATCGCGCGAAGAGAGAGGAATGATTTCACTATTATCATAACTTAAAATTCAGCCTACAAATTAAGTTCATTGCACCGATAAACGCAAGAAGAAGTAAAGAAAACCCTAGAACAAGCTCTATATAGATGGTTCATGGCGTGCTAAGCCCAAAGCCTAGACAATATAGCATAGATCTGAAAGCGAGGCCATGGATTGATTGTACTCACACCTATTAAGACCTTAGCAGCCAATGGAAGCTGCAGAGGTTCACAACATGTAAACTGTGGCTAGCTGATGCACCCAAAAAAGAAAAAATGTCAACAAATAACTTATCTAAGTTAAGTCCAGAGAAGATCCACGTGATGATGTCTATGATAAGAGATTGAGATACCAGAAAATTGTTCGCTTTCAAGTTAGTATGGGAATGAGTGCGCGCTATTTCAATTCAGAGAACTATTATTGGAATATCACGCAGTTGAGGTTTGCATTTGGGATAAAACGTGAGAGTTCGCGGGTTTTCATCATAAGAGCTCATCCTAATTTCTTTTATACATAAAAATGAAAGAGAGAGAGGAGAGGAGAGAGAGAGAGAAGAGAGAGAGAGAGAGTAGATAAGGAGTTTTATATGGCTAATCTTTTTGTAATAATAGATGACATTTAAAGTATTTTTGACTTTCCTTATTTAGTTTCAGCTACCACCGCAAAAGTGAAACCTAAAAGAGCAACCCCTTATTCGAAGATGCGTTATCTAACATATAGTGTTCAACTCATTTTATATCTACTCGAGCCAAAATCAAGTTATAAAGTATATAAGTTATTAACCAACGTTTGCTACCTATTAATTCTATATGAGTTATGCCATAAACTACAATATTCAACTAAGAAAAAAGGACTATAAGAGTCATAAAAATTACTTCAAATTCCCAGCACTTTGTAGTAACGCTATTGCACATAAAACACCACATGTATATCCTTACAACAGACGCAGCCTATCAAACATATGAGTTACAAGTCAGGCACTCCTTACAATATAATTGAGGAGAACCTAAGTGGTTATAAAAACACGGAATATTGCGAGAGAGTGTGATTTCAAGGAAACTATTTGATGTTAGTTTGTTTTTTTGATTAAAATAGTCCAAGAAAGTGAAAAATATTTAATCACAATCAACTCGAAAATATTTACTTTTTATAGACAAATCTATATGCTAAAAAAAATTGCGAAGAGACAAACAATCCAACAAGTTTCAGATCCGCTAGGTCCGATAATGACCAATTTAGAACAATAGGTGCATGGGAGAGCCTAACATGAAGTCAAGAAGGAGTCTTGGTTGGATTAAACATAGAAAGTCAGCCTCATTGACTTTTGGCTTTTCCTGAATCACATCGAGACTGTACAAAATCACCATCTATCCGTTAAAAATCGCACCTGATCAGATAATCATCTGCCGAATCATGTCTCTATATCTCCGGTTAACGATGCCTGAAATTAAACTTTATTAAAATCTATTAATCCGCCTATCAACAAATATAGCGATGTGCCACACTATGGTTAGGAGAGCACAATTAATATACGACAACAACAACACACACCCACCTATCATATAATCTACCATTCTAAATTGAGAAGAAAACTATCAAAAACATTAAAAAGACGCGACTAAATTTAGAAGTGCAGTCA